ACACACACACACACACACACACACACACACATACACATGCACACGCACACACACACATCAGTACCGTGAAATTAGACAAAATACATAGGAAGAGTGCATTTTTCATACTTTTTCTTTCTGACATCGTTCACCTTCTTCCTCTCTTCCTTTTCTACTGTTCTATATGAGTCACCACCACAGCAGCAGACGTTGCTAAGTCCATATGGCCAGGCAATTTGTATGTATTAACACATTAGATGGCCTATGAAGCGGCTGTATCATTCCCACATTACAGAGTGGGAAGCTGACCAAGCTCCCACAGTTGGGGTAGAAATAGCTGGGTTTCAAGTCCAGGCAGGGTTTCTTTTTTTACTGGTTCAGTCAGGCTTTAGTGGAGGGGAAGAAAGAAAAAGGAAACAACAACAACAACAACAACAACAACAACAAAAAAACCCAAAACCCAAACTTCTCCTTTTAGGTAAGCATTCTCAAATGAATAGCTCCTTCCAGTTTGGCAAGTGAAGCCTTCACTCACTGTTTGACCATAAAATAGCAGATGCAGATCTGTTCAGTCCAAAGGCTGGCTGTCAGCAGGGTGCACATCTCTCATGATTTAGTTTAGGCTCACTTTTCTATGAGTCTCAAGGTTGATATGCCAACAAACTGCTTAGAATCGCCCCTACAGTTTTTTCTTTCCTATTTTCTTGTTTTCTTTGTTTTTGCTTTTATTTTCTTTTTGGCAATGTTGGGCTCAAAACCAGGGTCTTGCACATGCCAGACAAGCACTCTACCACTGAGCTACGCTGCCAGTCTCGCTTTTACCTTCCTATTTAAAAAATATGGAAAAATCTTCTAAACTTAGCTAATTTTGGAAAATTATAGGAAGCTGTATTGAAACAAGAATTTTGAGTTACAAAAAAAAAATATATTTAAATCCACACAATAGGGGATGGAGAGATGGCTCAGCGGTTAAGAGCACTGGCTACTCTTGCAAAGGACTGGGTTTGGTTCCCAGTACCCACATGGCAGCTAACAACTGTCCATAACTCTAGTTCCAGGAGATCTTATACCCTCTTCTGGCCTTCATGGACACTGTGTACACATGGTATACTTATATACATGCAGGCAAAACACTCATACACATTAAAAAATGAATAATTAGATCCACACAATAATAATAACGCCAAGTAACTTGATATAGTTTTTACTTTGGAGAAGAAAGAATCTAGAATTGCTCTATGGGAACTGAAATTTATCTAACAACATTTTCTGAATGCCCAGTATTCACTGAGCATTATATAATTTAATGACTTTGCAAGAACAATGGCCAAATGCTTGTATCCCCACAAGTTAATGCACAGGGATCAGTAGGGGGGCTTCCAGAAAGATCTGGTCGTGGAGGCAGAACACTCATGGAATTCTTTGTCTTATAAAACAGCAGTAAGAGAGCCTCTTCAGCCAGGAGAAGACCCAACAAGAGACAGGAAGTGAGACCTCACCAGACACCAAAGCTACAGGAACCCTGACATCAGGCCCTGTACCTGAAAGCCAGGCAGCTGGTGCTGCTTTTATAAGTGCCTTGATGGACTACAACAGTCTTTATCAGATTCAATATTTCAAATGTACATTGATAATTCCTAAATTACTTAAAATCAATTCAGCAAAAAAACCATTCAGCAGCCTCCTCGGTCTTTCATACATCATTAATTTACTGAAAAAATTATTTTCTGATTCTGCTCTGCTCTGAAAGAAATAAGAACCCAAATTATCAGAAACTAAACTGGTAAGTCTTTATTGCTGTTACTAAAATTCCACACAGTTCCCTCTTCTGTGTTCCATATAACTTCATGTAATTTCCTCTTTATTGGAGGAAGGTTCTAATTCCCAAATATTTTATTGTATTAAAAGATTTCCTCTGGATTCTCAATTTCCTTTTTGTTCCCTTTAAAACAGAACAGCTCTAAACTGGTACCCAAGGCCCCACTAATGCCAAAGAGGCAAGACCAATGTTACTAACAGCTCTGCAGTTGCTGCCACCACAAACACTAAACACAGACAGCAAAGTACTTATCCTAGTCTGTTTCACTGCTATAATAAAATATCGCAGGCTGGGTAGTTTATAAAGAAAAGACATTTGTTTTAGCTCATAACTTTTAAAGGCGGAAAGTCTAAACACCATGGTGCGGGCTCTGCTGAAAGCCAGGGACAGATGAGATCACTGAGAGTTTGTAACAGAGGGAGAGATCATATGGAAAGATAAGAGGCCAGGGAGTGATTTGGAGATCAGGCTCATTTTGTTGTTTTCTGTCTGTTTTAATCTTTTTGTAGTGCTGGGGATAGGACTGAAATACTCACACAAGGTAGGCAAGCCCTCTTCCACTAAGCTACAACTCCACTCCCAGGCTTATACTTTCATAATATAAGAACTTGGTGTTAAGCAAATAGAGTTCCGTGAGAAGTCCCTTCTAGGGCAGCACCCATGACCTTTTAACTTTTAAGCCACACCCCTCAAAATCCCACCCCTCCTCACATTGCATTGGAGACCAAGCTTTCCACACACAAACCCCATGGGACATACTCAAGCCATGTGAAACCACAACAGGTTACATTCATATTCGTTTTGTGTAATCCTAACAGCTTTATGTGAAGTTTTCAAGCCTGAACTGTGATTTGTATGGACTTTTCTTGATGGGCAATACCTAAACTGTTGAGTGACTGACCTTTCTTCAAGTCTGCTCAGGTTTATCATTGTCAAATGCTCAGTGGCAAGCCCTGACAGATGGAAGAGCAAGGACTCTAAACAAAGATTTGTGCCTAACAGATGGCATCAGGTTGAGAAGCCTGAGGAGCTGACAGACAAAAGTTTTCCTCCTTTGGAATAAAACTGAGACAGGCAGAAAGAATCACTAAGAAGGAAAAAAGGGTGCCAATGAAGGATTACTTCGGGAGAAAAATGTTAATACCAGGTGAGGCTGAAAGATGACGTGGGAAGGGATAGTCAGTGATCTCAGTGCCCAGTCTGGAAATAAAACAACCCTCTAATCCCAGTGCCCACAGGAATGGATGAGTTTCACTGATAGTAACTAGTGAGAAGGGGAAGAAAAGTAATCATCTCCATCATAAAAGACAGCTAATGTCCTTTCAGCCCTTACTCTATGCTCTACACTGAGTTATTGTTTCATATTTGTTTGTTTTGTGGTGTTGAGGATGAAACCCAGGGCCTTGAGCATTCTTGGCAAGTGCTCTTCCATTGAGCTGTAGCCCAGTCCATATTGATCATTTTAAAATAAAACAATGAACGAGGCAGGTGTTTTATGGAGCCCATTTTAAAAGAGGTTAACTGAGGCAGAGAGGGAAAAGAATCCCAGAAATAGTTACACCACGTACCAAAAATTCAGACTTATCTATCATTTAATTAAATAATAGAGACTCAATGTCATTCTCTTGCTGACATGACAAAATCAGCTAGAAGATGTATGAATTCCCAGTTCTGGTTGACAAGCAGTGTAAGAGCTCAGTCAGCTAGCAGGTGAGGTGGGCTGTGTGCTTCAGAACACACAGCAGAGCTGATTGTCCCAGCATACATCTCCAACCAGCACTCTTTTTAATTTTTTTTCAAGGCAATGTTTCATGTAGCCCAAGCTGGCCTCCAACTCTCTATGCAGTGAAGGATGACCTTGAACTGATCCTCCTCCCCCACCTCCCAAGTGCTGGGATTGTAGGCATGCAATACACCTGTTGGAGTTGGAGTCCAACGTTTTGTGCATTGTACTAACTGAGCTCTATCCCTAGCCAGCACTCTCAACTTTCTGGTACTGGGGATGAGCCAGGACCGGGCACACGCTAGACAGACGCTCTGTCTAGACCACTCTGTTATCCCCAGTTATTGTTTTAAGCAGCTCCTACATGTTTCTGGGTTCTGTAACTGCTGATTCTTTCATAAAGGCAATAATGAATCAGCAAATATACCAACTGACAGTGACATGAGAAGCCAGACCACTCCATTCCATTTGCATACAGGAAAATCAGATTCAGCATGTAAAGAACCTTTTAAGTTGATAGAAATACTAAATTCAACTACCAATTCTATCTTATGAAACATGAAAAACAAGAACACTTCATAGTCAAAACAGTCTGTACTTATCTTAAAGTGACAGTTACAAAAGGAAAGTGTAGCTTTAGAATACAGTAACTTTGCAAGACAAACCAAAAATTAAACAGTCTTATGCCAATAATAACCTCTCCAAAGGCGACTGCATATTTTTTAAATCAGGAGTATCTACCTTACCTGATGAAAACCAGTTTGACCTTGGTTGGGGCAGTCTTGATAATGGCAGATGCATTTTGATGACTTCTTCCATACAGGATCTGATTGTTTATCTGTTTAGGGAAAAAAGTATTTATAAAAATACGGCCTGCATATTTTACATAATATATATACATTATGAAAGATGTGTGTATATAGGACTCATTAATGTTAAAAATGTCAATATTTTTTGTACTACAGATTCAAACACTAATTCCTTTTGTTTGTTTGGTTTGGTTTTTTTGAGGCAGGGTCTCTGTGTAGCCCCAGCCGGCCTGGAACTCACAAAGATCCGCCTGCATCTGCCTCCCGAGTGCTGGGATTAAAGGTGTGCACCACCAAGCCTGGCTCAAACACTAATTCTAAGCAACTATTAAAAACCACCAAATTCAGTTTGGGCTACAGTTAATAAAAAACTTAAATCCTTGACTCCATTGCTCTCAAGTTTATGAGAACAGTATTTGAGCTCAATGCAAAAGTTTTATGACAGATATTTTGGTTCCTCAGCTTTTCCAGATTTCTAAAAAATGTACAAAACAGACCAAACTATAGTATCTGCCAGAGCCCTAGAGGGCCTGTTAAACAGGATTCTGTAAGTATGTCAATGTTATTGCATAGCATAAATTTTGTTGCCATGGGAGATAACTATTATATTCCTGTTTAAAGTCAGAATTTAATCAATTGCATAGGAACATCTTACCGTGGATAATCAAGGAGCCATCTGCTCACGTCTCCCTGTAGCCCCAGCTGTCCAGAAACTCACAGAGATCCACCTGCCTCTGCTTCCCAAGTGCTGGGATTAAAGGTGTGTGCTACCATGCCCGGCAATGTGCTGGTATTTTTAATTTGACTGGAGTCATTTAAATATGATAGAACATTAGACCTAAATTCTTTTCATTTCAGATTTTCTCATTGATAAATTACGAGAACGACTAAGTATTCTCTTGTTTTATTCATACAATTTTTGTCCCCATCTACTTGATAAGCAATTCATGACTTGTGACTTTTACTATTATATTATCCCCATGTGACTGTGGCTCTGATAACTTTTTAAAATGTTTTATTTAGTATCTTTATTTGATGTATGAGTGTATTGTCTGGATGTGTGCAAGTGCACCCATGTTGTTCAATGCCCACAGAGGTTAGAAGAAGGCATTGGATCCCCTGGAACTGGAGTTATGGACGGTTGTTAGCTGTCATGTGGGTGCTGGGATTTGAACCCAGGTCCTCTGCAAGAGCATCCAGTGCTCTTAACCACTGAGCCATCTCTCCAGCCTCCAGCTCTGATAACTTCTATCTCAGGGATGGTACGGTGCACTCAACAAGGAGTGAACACTAAGGGGTACTGAAGTCTGTTGTGTCAGTGCCTAATCCATCTGCCTTTGATGCCTTTGCACTGTTGGATTTGAAGACACACTTGACATATCTTTCAAAGTGTCATTTTTCTCATGGCAGTTTCAATGAGAAAGTATATGGAAATAAATACTTCAAAGGATGGGACTGAAGCATAATGCTCATAACTGTTCTAAAGGAAGCTTGTCCATCCTATGCCTAGGAAGACAGAGCCAGGGTCACCTCCAAGGCTGACATGATGATGTCTAGCTACTTCTCTACTCTGCCTCTTATTCTATCAGCTTTTGTTCTTCATCAGCACTATCATTCGCACAGAAATACATTTATTCCTATACTCCCAACTTTCTGTGACTCAGTTTCTTATTCTCTAAAAGGATTTCAAACACCTACTTCACAAAGTTGTGAGAATTAAAGGGAAATGTGGTCACATTTTATTTATAGTCCTCTTCATACCTGAAAGAGATCTTTTTTTCCTATATCCTGACACTCATCTTTTCTGCTGTTAGCCTTTAATATTTATGCATTTAATAATGTGCCCCCTTTAGACTTCTGGTGCTAATGTACTAATACAAACATGCTAATACTTTATTGATATGTTCATGGTTTTATCTTTCATACACAAAAAGAGAGAAAGAGAGAGAGAGAGAGAGAGAAATTGATTTTCTTTTCCTTTCTCCTTTTTTCTTCTTGGTGCTGGATATTAAATCACACTAAATGTGAACAGTATAGTACTTAGCTATATACTCAACCTATATAATATCTTCTTAACTAATTTAGTTATAAGGCAAATGTTTGGAGAAACATAGTCATTAAGAATAATGTGAAAAAATATAACAACACAGATGACCAAAATATACGAAGTAGCAAAACTAAGTTAAAAAGCAGTATGTGTAGCCCCTCTATGTTTTCTACTCACCATATTTTCTAACCTCCTTAATTTACAGAGACACACAAAGGATCATTTGGTTCTATCTGAAATGAGAAGATGTATGGAATGGGCCTGATTCAGGGAGTTACCTGTGAGCATTCTTGCCACCAAGACCTCTGCATCCAGAGACCTTTTCTAAACCAGAACTTAATTACCTACCGTTGAGTTCTGTGACACCAGGGTAAAGAAAATTTCTATTCTTTTTCCTTTTAACATTAGATTTATTTAGTTTTAAATTTTCTTAAATTTATTTTTATTTTTTGTGTATGTGTGTTTTGTCTGTATGTATGCAAGTGCACCACAGTCATGCAGTGCCTATGGAGGTCAGAAGAGGGCATCAAATCCCCTGAAACTGTAGTTATGGATGGTTGTCAGCTGCATGTAGGTGCTGGGAACTGAACCTGGGTCCTCTGCAAGAGCAGCCAGTGCTCCTAACCGCTGAGCCAACTCTCCAGCCCCACATTATTTATTTGTGCGTGTGCGTGTGCGTGTGTGTAGGTGTATACCTTGGTATGCGTGTGGAGGTCAGAGGACAACTTGTAGGAGCTGGTTCTCTCCTTTAAGACCATGTGGATCCCAGGGACTGAACTTGGTTGTCAGGTTTGGGAGCCTTTAACCTGATGATCTGGCTGGCCCAGATAAAGAAAATTTCTTATTGCACTTATACTCCAGTAAACATAAGGTCAATCCCCATCAGGCTGTAGGCACCAGTGCAACAGACTTTTAGTAGACTGAGCTATGCTCCCTGAGGGCAGAAACCAGCCCATTACTCTTGGTATCTCCAGGGGTACTGAGGGACTAAGTTGCAGAGCCCTATGTGGAAGGACATTTAATCAGCTCCAAATATACAATCTGTGATGTGGACTCCAGCCTTCACTGTGACTGAGGTTAAAAACAATGATTTTTTTCTAAAAATACTGGTTTTGAGGGCTGATGTGATGGCTAGATTCCTGGCACCCACATTTTAAAAAAGGATGTGGTGGCATGCATCTATGATCCCAGCACTCCTACAGCAAAATAGGAGAGAGGAGAATGGAACCCTGTGGCCAGCTAGCCTGGAGTAAGCAGTGTGGCTAGAACAAGAAACCCTAACTCAGCAAGTGGAAGGGGAGAACTGACTCTGTGAAAATTGTCCTTGAACCAACACACGCTACCACAAAACCTTCACACATACATTAAAAAATCATCTTTAAGCAGCAAAAAGCTGGAGTATATAGAAAATCAAACTTTTATGTTCATGGATCTGCTCACCTTCCATTTTGACAAGACAGAACTTAATAGTAATTTAATTCTAAGAGGGCAAAATGGGTTCCGGATGTAGAAACAAGTAGGCTTATCCTTTCATTTGACTGAGGAAGCTACAATTGTGCCTCTTGGGTGTTGTCTAAATGCTTAGAGGCTCTGCAGAAGGTGCTTGCAGCTGCTGCTTTCTGCAGTGCCAGCAGGTGTGGCATTTACAGTGGGAGCAGCTGTTCCTTGTCAATGTGCAGAGCTCTGCAGAAATGCTGTGCCATGGAAAACTAGGAAGAGAGCTAGAAACTGGAGACACAGGGGAACTTGACCTGACCAGGTTAGTCTAAAGGGGAAATGCAAATCTCTGAACAAAGCCTTGTTTCTGGCCTTAAAAATGACACACATAAGATTGTTTGAGATGTTCTGTATGATATACACACACACACAAATATCAACAAATAAAAAAAAAGAGTTATATTTGAGGAGGAAGCATAAAAATTTACTTCATGTTAATTAGTAGAGGTAATAAACATTACCATTGCAGTCTACCTGATGACTTTACATCCATACTTAGGTGCCAAGGATCTGAGTGTAACCAGCTGTGACTAGTAATAATCAGATACATAGAGATCAGAGATGCATGTGCAAACATCTAAGTGTTATTAGCAAAAACAATGAGTTTTTCTGTAGGAAATGGAGATCTTTTTTAAAGGTTAAAAACTCATTCAATTTTATGTCTTACAGGGTTTATACTGACTGCAATATTGTATAACTGTATTAATTCAACTGTGAAGCTAAAAATTTACAGCCACTTTTGAAAGAGATGTATCTTTGCTCTGGAAATTGTTATTGAATATGTTAATGCTGTAATGAAATGAACACACACATACACACACACACGTAAACACAGAGGGATGGGTGAGGTGGTTCAGAAGGCAGACACACTGGCAGCCAAGAGGGATGACCTGCATTTGATCACTGGAGCCCACATGGAAGGAAAGAAGTGATTCCTGCAAGCTGTTTTCTGACCTCCACCTATTTCCATCGTATACAAGCACGTGCATGTGCACACATGTATACAAACACACAAATGTAATTTAAAAAATTTGGTGGGGGGTATGCTGGAAAGATGGTTCAGTAGTTAAGAGCACTGGTTACTCCTGCAGAGGAACTGGATTCAGTTCCCAGCACCCACATGGCAGGTAACAACTGTCCTAAATCTAGTTCTAAGGGATCTCACACACTCTTCCATTCTCTGTGAACACTGTATGACAGAGGTATACTTCTATACATGCAAGCAAAACACTCATACACACAAAATACAAATTAATTGAAACATTTAAATGCCAAGTGACCTCTATGTGTTGGGAGAGGTGGCTCTCCTTTGAGGTTTTATAGTCTTATGTCCTATAGAAATTTACCAATTGAAACAAAAGATACAGAGTTTCCAGCTATGTAGGCAGATTTTGTATTTTCTCATCCCCAAATGAAACAAACTCTGGAGAAAATTCAGTAAGTAATCAGAAGGGATATGATAGATTTGAAACACAATGAACTTGA